CCTCTGAAGCTCACATGCAACATCAACCATGGAGTTGGTACCAGCGAGAAACAATTTCAAGAGTGTGTTTGCACATGATGGACCTTCCTTCTACAAGATTATCAAATGTTCAGCAAGGGTGGAGTTGGTAAGTTAGATCTTATACCCACCTGCAAACACCACCATATACCCACCTGCCATAATCTGCATATATATAAGTTCATAAAAATCACAAAAGAAATTAATAACATTTTCTTTCAATTCATTAAAATGATTTGAACTTTATTGGAAACATAGAACAAATAATTAAAAGATGACTATTGGAAAATTTTTCATTTCTAGAGATAAAATCATCCAACATTAAAGAAATTTGAACTTTATTGAAAACATAATTTCTTCCAAAATAATAATTTAAAAAGTTTATGTGTTCTTAGCACAACTGTTAAAAAAAGGAAAAAGATCATTGAAAAACTTCAACAAAGACTAGTTCAATCAAGTTTGTGAAATTTGTTGAAAATTTTTCAAGTATATTGTCTTGCAGCCAAATTCTAGAGATAAAATCATCAACAAACTCATAAATTTAGGCGATAACAAGAACATATCGGATTGAATTGGGTGCCATTGAGGGTGAGGAGAGAAATCTCATCCACCTTAGGCCTAAACACGGCAAGTTGAGCAGTGCTGCCAGCGAGGAGAAGACAGCGATCACAAGGTGAAAGCTGAGTCTTATTGAAAATGAAAGACTCTTTTGTCAAGAAAGCAAGACCGAAGGTAAAACTATCAAATCTCTGAACCTTTGCATATAAACAAGGATCAACTACGTGATTTGTCTCCCATGTTTTGGCTTGGATCATCATCAATGTCATTATGGCCATGTGTGTTACCATAATTGCCCTCACCATGGCAGGTAATCTTCTTCCTTGAAAAAATAAAATATTGGAAAAAAATAAAACACACAAAGAAATCATGCATTTGAAGAAGAAAAAACAAAAGGAAGAGGAAAATGATATGGAAGTTTGATGTTTGTAAAGGAAGAACAATCAAATAATAATTAGGAAAGTTCAAGAAAAGGAAAAAACAATGTTTGGAGTGTTTTCATCACAACCAAATCAAGAACTTACAATAACCTCGACAAAACCACAATGAAGAACTCAACCATGTAATATAAATAGCAAAATCATATGCATATACATCTATTGAAAATGTTACATATCATCATCATTAGGTTGAATTAAAAAAGGTTGACCCGATTAAAAAAATTAATCAAAACCTAACATGAACATGAAACTGTTGAGAGTCATCACTAACTCTCCTCACTCTCTAGAATCTTCTCTTTAGCATATTCTAGAAGTTTCCACATGAATCTAGAATACTCCGGAAAGATCTAGAAGATTCTGAAAAGACTTAAGAAATCCGGAAGATTCTAGAATAACCTAGAAGATTCCGGAACGTTAGAGAAGCTTGTAGAAATCTGGAAGGTTCTAGAATATTATAGAAGTATAGAAAATGCTATTATATACTAGAATAGTTTAGAGAGTTCTAGAATATTGGAAAGCATGAGTATATGCTAGAATATTCTAGAGGGTTAATAATAGCCCTTGGATCAAAATGATCCTAGCCATCCATTGAGGTAGTGGATGACACAACAATCAAGAGTGGAAACAAGTGCTGTGATTCCAAAATTAAGGTGTCCTTAAGAGTTTTCTGGTATATTTGAGTGTATCTTTGCATCTAAATAAAGACTCATTTTTGTATAGCTGTTGTGTTCTAACTCAACAGAAACTGCAAAATTTCTTTAAAAGAAAGGGAAAGAAAATTGAAACCCTAGATTCAAAATATATCCAATAAATCAATGCTAAGACCCCATTGGCGATTGCCTTTTCAAATGCTTTAATGTTCTTTAACCTCTACAAAACCTTTCTTAAATTAATAATCACTCTTGATTTCTTTTTGTTGATCAGAAACAGGGAGAGGGGAAAAGTATAAGAAATTAATCGAGGCGGGTTTAAGAGATTTAACAAAATTGATGATTTGGTTTTCTATGTTGTTTGATTCGAAATTGTAATTGTGAAAGTAATTTTTTGTTGGGTTTTTTTTTTTTTTTTTACCTGTAAGGGAATTGAAGGACCCGAGGGCACGCGAAACGATTATTCCGGTAGGCCACTTGAAGAAGTTGATGAAAATATTTAAGTTCATATTTACTAAAATACCCTCCCTCTAGGGTTATGTTTGCTTCAATGATTTAGGGCGAGGGCGCGCGAAACGGTTATTCGGGTAGGGCATTTGTATCTTGTCCTAGGAATGGTTATGGAAGTTGATGAAAATATTTAAGTTCATATTTACTAAAATACCCTCCCTCTAAGGTTATGTTTGCTTCAATGATTTAGGGAGGGATTAAAAAAGATAAAGGAAAAATGTAGGTAAAATATGAATAAATTATATCAACTTTTCACTTAGTTTCATACATTTTTTTCATTTTTGACTCGGCTTTAGTAATAAGCCAAGTCTATCCAACACTAAGAGCTTATTTGAGAATTAATTTTGGTAGTGATTTTTTAATTTCTTTTTTTAAAAAAAAAACATGTAAAAATAAAAAAAATAATTTAACAATTTATAATAACTTTTTAATTTTTAAATTAAAATATTTAGTTCCAAACATAACCTAAAACTTAAGGCATAGGTTCATAAATTTTGACTGATCAATAGGTAAGGCTTGGGTCAACCCATCCTGAAACCTGAACTCTACACTCATGGACTTAGAAGTGTGGGCTTATAAGATTAGTGCAAGGCTTTTTTGCAAAAACCCTGTGTTGGTTTTTTACAAAGCTGTGGGTTGGTTTTCACAAAACTGTAGGTCGCTTTTTGCAAAAATCAGGGTCGGATTTTCACAAACTGTAGGCCATATTTGGGTAATAGGAGGTTTGTAAGAAACAATTAAACGTTGGGGGATTCTATTTGAATCCAAAATATATTTCAGTACGTATAATTTAAATTCATAAATTTTAATTTCTATTATAATTTAATATGAATTTAGTGATAAGGATAATACATATTAAACTCTAAAATATATATTTTTTCTTTTTATGGTACATCCTAATCAGTTATTCGTATCTTCTTCTCGAATAGATTGAAGTTTTTTTTTTTTTTCTTCTTCTTCTTCCTCCCTTCAAAACACCAATCCACGCTACCAAAACTCACTATTATTATCAATATTATTATTTTTTATTATTTTGAAACCCCAAACCCTAAAAAAAAGTTTGAACAAAATCAAATAATGAATGAGAGTAATACTAAAAATAGTTTTTTGAAGCAACCCATAAAAAAAAAGGTAAGTATTCATATAAAGGGGTTTCATAATTTTTGTAGAATACCATCAATTATTTTTTATTTCATTTTTTTGACAAAAATTAAAGGACCTAGTAATTAAATTAACAATAACATATTATTGAAGCTATTTTTATTTTGTCATTTAAATAGTACATTATTTGAAAACTACTTTTTTTTGTTAGTGCTAGATGCTTATGTGCTTATAAGTTTGGTATTTACTTTTTCGCGAGCATTCTTGTAGATAATTTATAATGTAAAAGTTTTTTTTTTTTCTGTATTGAAAAGTTTTATAATGTTTATGTAAAAGTTTGGTTTCCCCCCTCCCCCTATATTTATAATGTTTATGTGATTATAAGTTTGGTTTATATATATATATATATATATATTTGAGAATTATTTTTTGTATTGAAAACATTTGAAATAATTTAGTTTTTTTAGTTTGTTTATTATTTATTATTTGGGTTTACCTTGAGGGTAATTTCGGAAAAATAATAGGGTGCAATAAGGATAAAATAAAATTTTAAATAATTAAACAGGGTGTACTTAAAAATTAAGAGTACTTAATAATTTAGTGGGTGTAAATAAAATTCCCCTGAAACGTTTCACTTGTTTTTGTTTCATTGGCCCAATTCTGTTCTAATTTGATGTACTTGATAGAATATGTTTTGTATGGGGACTTACCTTCGGCCGTATAATGAGTTTCAATATAATATTTATTTTTTGATATAAATTTATATGGTGATTTTCTTTTTTAAGTTTCCTGATATGAAGATTTTATAGCATAAAAAACACTCAATATTTTCATAATATCTAAGGTCACTTAATATCAATCCAGAGAAAATTCGATCCAGAGAATTTCTCTGGACAAATCACAGAGAAAATTCCAAATTTCTCTAGACGAACACCAAATTTCTCTGAACATATCACCAACACCAAATTTCTTTGGACACATCACAGAGAAATTTTACACATCTCCAACACCAAATTTCTCTGGAAGAGAATTTAAGAAAGAGCACAGATTATGATATATTACCACCACAGAAGAAGAGTTGACGAAAAACCTAACCCATCAAGTAAATTGAGAGAGAAAGAATTCTTCCAAAACAGCTTTCAAAAAGTACCCATAGATATCTAGGAAAGCTCTGATCAACAATGGCCTTTTTTAATTGAAAAATGTTTCAAACCCCCTTTCCCTCCCACCCTCCTTGACCCATTTCCCTCCCATTGGCCAGTTTTTCTTTTTTTCCTTCTCCTCCAATCATCAACCGCCACGTGTGTGTAGGGGGTGGTGGGGGTGGTGATTGAAGGGGGTCTCTATCAATGCTGTTTTTAATTTTCCTTTCAACAAAAGAATACATGCAGAACAATTGTAAATTTGAATGTAAACAGCGAAAGAATTGAAAATTTAAATTTTAAAATAAAAGAATTGGACAGTTATATAGAAACAATAAGGGCATGTTTGATTGGAAGGATTAAAGCATAGGATTGGGATTATTAATCCGTGGGCCCAATCATCCTATGTTTGTTTTGACATTTTGGTTTAGGATTATTAATCCAATGGATAATTAATCCAACAAATTTGTAGGATTATTAGTAATGGGGTAGGGGTGGGATAACTAATACCACACTAATTTAATAGGATTATTAATACCTCACTATTAGTGTTGTGAATCAAACATGACCTAAAGGTATTAAAAAAATGCATGACATAAGTTCACACCAAGTGAGCTGTGTGCTTTATATAATGGTATAAACGTATAGATAATAATATAGCTATTCACACCTCCCGTGAGTGTTTTAATTTTCAAAAAGTGCTTTAATTTTCAAAAATACTCTTCACATCCCATAAGTGCTGCATCCATTAATTATTGAACAATTTTCCTCATTTATCAAACTGCCCAAAATAATTAAATAATTTTCCCCATTCATCAAATTACCCCTCAATCATCAAAGAATTCAAAATTTACAATACAAAATTACAAACACGTAGCATTTACACCAGTCACTAGTTCATACATTACACATGTATGTATTTTCAACACTTGGCAACACGCTTTCTACATAAGCCTGTTCTGTCCCTCTTCCTCAGCTGCCTTGACAACTCATCATGTATATATATTCATCCCTGCCTCCTCCCAAAACCCTCTGAAGCTCACATGCAACATCAACCATGGAGTTGGTACCAGCGAGAAACAATTTCAAGAGTGTGTTTGCACATGATGGACCTTCCTTCTACAAGATTATCAAATGTTCAGCAAGGGTGGAGTTGGTAAGTTAGATCTTATACCCACCTGCAAACACCACCATATACCCACCTGCCATAATCTGCATATATATAAGTTCATAAAAATCACAAAAGAAATTAATAACATTTTCTTTCAATTCATTAAAATGATTTGAACTTTATTGGAAACATAGAACAAATAATTAAAAGATGACTATTGGAAAATTTTTCATTTCTAGAGATAAAATCATCCAACATTAAAGAAATTTGAACTTTATTGAAAACATAATTTCTTCCAAAATAATAATTTAAAAAGTTTATGTGTTCTTAGCACAACTGTTAAAAAAAGGAAAAAGATCATTGAAAAACTTCAACAAAGACTAGTTCAATCAAGTTTGTGAAATTTGTTGAAAATTTTTCAAGTATATTGTCTTGCAGCCAAATTCTAGAGATAAAATCATCAACAAACTCATAAATTTAGGCGATAACAAGAACATATCGGATTGAATTGGGTGCCATTGAGGGTGAGGAGAGAAATCTCATCCACCTTAGGCCTAAACACGGCAAGTTGAGCAGTGCTGCCAGCGAGGAGAAGACAGCGATCACAAGGTGAAAGCTGAGTCTTATTGAAAATGAAAGACTCTTTTGTCAAGAAAGCAAGACCGAAGGTAAAACTATCAAATCTCTGAACCTTTGCATATAAACAAGGATCAAATACGTGATTTGTCTCCCATGCTTTGGCTTGGATCATCATCAATGTCATTATGGCCATGTGTGTTACCATAATTGCCCTCACCATGGCAGGTAATCTTCTTCCTTGAAAAAATAAAAAATTGGAAAAAAATAAAACACACAAAGAAATCATGCATTTGAAGAAGAAAAAACAAACGAAAGAGGAAAATGATATGGAAGTTTGATGTTTATAAAGGAAGAACAATCAAATAATAATTAGGAAAGTTCAAGAAAAGGAAAAAAGAATGTTTGGAGTGTTTTCATCATAACCCAAATCAAGAACTTACAATAACCTCGCCAAAACCACAATGAAGAACTCAATCATGTAATAAAATAATATGCATATATATATTGAAAATGTTACATATCATCATCACTAGGTTGAATTAAAAAAGGTTGAGTCAAACAAAAAAAGTAATCAAAACATAACATGAACATGAAACTGCAAAATTTCTTTAAAAGAAAAGGAAAGAAAATTGAAACCCTGGATTCAGAATATACCCAATAAATCAATCCTAAGACCCCATTGAACTCACCACATCCGGAAAATTACTTGTGATCGCCTTTCCAAATGCTTTAATGTTCTTTAACCTCTACAAAACTTTTCTTAAATTAATAATCACCCTTGATTTTTTTTTGTTGATCAGAAACAGAGAGAGGGGACAAGTATAAGAACTTAATCGAGGTGGGTTTAAGAGATTTAATAAAATTGATGATTTAATTTTTTATGTTGTTTGATTCGAAATTGTAATTGTGAAAGCAATTTGTTGCGTTTTTTTGCTTTTTCTTACCTGAGAAGAAAATGCAGGGGAATTGAAAGACTCGGGGTGCACAAAACGGTTTTTCCAGCAGGCCACTTGGATCTTGTCCTAGGAACGGTTATGGAAGTTGATGAAAATATTTAAGTTCATATTTACTAAAATACTCTCCCTCTAAGGTTATGTTTGCTTCAATGATTTACGGAGGGATTAAAAAAGATAAAGGAAAAATGTAGGTAAAGTATGAATAAATTATATCAACTTTTCACTTAGTTTCATACATTTTTTCCCTTTCTGTTTTTACATTTCTTTCTAAATTCATAAATCAAACACTGGCTAAAGAAAGATTTTGACTCAGCCTTAGTAATGGGCCAAGTCTGTCCAACACTAAGAGCTTATTTGGGAATTAATTTTTTTAGTGACTTTTTAATTTTTTTTAAAAATAACATATAAAAATAAAAAAAAAATTTAACAATTGATAATGACTTTTTAATTTTTAAATTAAAATATTTAGTTCCAAACATAGCCTAAAACTTAAGGCATAGGTTCATAAATTTTGACTAATCAATAGCTAAGGCTTGGGTCAACCCATTCTGAAACCTAAACTCTACTCGTGGACTTAAAAGTGTGGGCTTTATGAGATTAGTGAAAGGCTTAGCCCTAATCAGACCTAAATTCAAGTTTTTTTTTTTTATTAGTTTTATAATTTATTGACAAAAAGAGGGAAAAAAATTATAATACAAAATTTTGAATTTTTTTGTATCGGTTTAATGGATTGGGGAGCAATCCAACTCTTTGATAGAGGCTAACTCATATTTGGGGTGGCCTAACACGGCCCATCCTCGAGCTCGGCCTGGATTGTGGGTTTTGTTTTGTTTTGTTTTGTTTTTTTTTTTTTTGAAGTGGTATATGTATGTATTAAAAAAAATGATATAAAAGTTCATCTTTTAAATTCATTTTTTTGATTCAGTGATGTGACAAAAAGATGATTAGTTGATAATTAAAGAATATTTAATTATCAACCAATCATCTTCTCTACACATTATTATGTGTAGAAAATGAGTCTAACTTTTATACCTAAATAACAATACTCATTTATTATTTGTAAATTAATACCATCACGGTATCTCATTTATTAAAAAAATTTATTATTATTATTTAGAAAGTATAAAATGAATTCAGTGATACTTTATTCCCTTACATAACCATTTCGGAGAAAGAATTATAATATTAATTTTTTTTCGCATTTATTATGAGCACCTAATCTATAAAATGGGTATTTGAGATTTAGTTACTATAGATTGCTAAAATCTACAGTTTTAATAATTATATTCATAGTCATCCCTCTAAATAGACTTCACATTATGATTTTGACCTATGTGCTTGGTAATAAGATTTAGGTAATTGGTGCCTTAAATACAGTATTATTCAAAAGCATCAAAACTCCTTCTCCCAAATTTAGACTAAAAATTAAACAAAAATGTTAAAGACCCCATAAATTCTATCAAATTTTTTATCAAATATCTTGTGAGACCTAGGGATTCACACTTATGTGACACATTTGGTAAAAATTTTAATAGAATTTTTAAAATTTCTAACATTACCCAAAATTAAATGGGCTCAAAATCTCATCCCAACACGGCCCTATGAACTAAATATTTTTCCCAAAATCTCATCCCAACACGGCCCTATGAACTAAATATTTTTCCAAAGTCTCCAAAAAATATTGACCTGGGTTGGACAGGCCAGCAAGCTCATGGCCACCCCTAGGTATGTCTTAGAGTGTTGTTGTTTTAGTCAGTGTTGGAGTCGTAGGCGTGATACATGAGCTTTGTATGCTGGTTCGATAAGATTGATGATGGATTTGAGGATGGAACTGCAGGAGAAGACTAATTATTTTGTTTACATTGTGAGAAGTTGTTAGGGTAAGTGTTTGGCCTGAGTTGTTAGCTGTAGACGAGCGAACGGAGTTGGTTGCAACTTCGATGTGCTGCATTGCGATTATTGTTGTGGTGATTAATGAGCCCAAAAAGATGGGCTAGTTTTTTCGCAAAAACCCTGTGTTGGTTTTTCACAAGGCTGTGGATTGGTTTTCACAAAACTGTAGGTCGCTTTTGCAAAATTGAGGGTCTGATTTTCACAAACTGTAGGCCGTATTTGGGTAATAGGAGGTTTTTAAGAAACTATTCACGTCCGGGGATTCTATTTGAATTCAAAAAATGTCTCATACATTCAATTTAAATTTATAAATTTTAATTATTATTATATTCTAATAAAAATAACACATATGAAACTTTAAAATAATTTTTTCTTCTTCTTTTAGTACACCCTAATCAATTATTCTTATTCAAATCTTTGTATCTTCTTTTCAAATAGATCAAAGTTTTTTTTTTCTTTTTTCTTCTTCTTCTTTTTTCTCCTTCCAAAGCTCCAATCCACCCTGTCAAAACTCACTGTTATCATCAATATCATTATTTTTTATTATTTTGAAGTCCCAAATCCTAAAAAAAAATTTGAACAAAATCAAATAATAGATGAGAGTAATAATCAAAATAGTTTTTTGAAGCAACCCATCAAAAAGGAGGTAAGTATTTATATAAAGGGGTTTCACAATTTTTGTAGAGTATTATCAATTATTTTTTATATCATTTTTTGACAAAAATTGAAGGGCCTAGTGATTAAATTAACAATAAACATATTATTGGAGTTATTCTTATTTTGTTATTTAAATAGTACATTATTTGAGAACTACTCTTTCTTGTTAGTGCCGGATGTTTATGTGCTTATAAGTTTAGTTTTTACTTTTTCACGAGCATTCTTGTGAATAATTTATAATGTAAAAGTTTTTTTTCTGTATTGAAAAGTTTTATAATGTTTATGCAATAGTTTGTTTTTTTTTTTCCAATATTTATAATGCTTATGTGCGTCTAAGTTTGGTTTTTATTTTTTTATATTTGAGAATTATTTTCTGTATTGAAAAGATTTGAAATAATTTAGTTTTTTAGTTTGTTTATTATTTATTTTTTGGGTTTACCTTAAGGATAATTTGGGAAAAATAATAGGGTGTAATAAGAGTAAAATAAAATTTTAAATAACTAAATAGGGTGTACTTAAAAATTGAGAGTACTTAATAATTTTTTGGGTATAAATAGAATTCCCCTAAACGTTACACTTGTTTTTGTTTCATTGGCCCAATTCTGTTCTAATTTGATGTACTTGATAGATTATGTTTTGTATAGGAACTTACCTTTGGCCGTATAATGAGTTTTAATATAATATTTATTTTTTGATATAAATTTATAACTTACCTACTAAAAAAAAAAATTTCAACATGAATATGTAATTTTTTTATCCCATTAATTTCATTCTTAGTTGTATTGCCGATGTGTCATCACTAAAAGATTTTGAGACAACAAAAACTATTTTTGTGATGGCATTGGCAACTCGCTAACACAAAAATGTAATTTTTCATTACCACATTAATTTTGTTTTTAGTTATATTGTCAATGTGTCATTGCTAAAAGAATTTAGATAATTGAGAGGGTAATTTGTATAGTCAAATTGGGCCGATAAAGCATTGTTTCTGAATATTAGGTCGCACTAAGAGCTGGGCTATGGGCCGGAATAAGGGCTGATAACTTGATCTTAGACTAGGCTGGTCAGCTGTGACACTGAGGCTTGGACCTAGTTATTTAAAAGTTCTGTAGCAAACCGAGGTAACATTAATGACGAGGGCCGAGCTATGTATAGATCGGCAGGGTGCCATTTGATAGATCGGCTTTCGATTACATGGTTCGAATGGCAGGGATCAAGATAAGGCAGCTCGGTCAGGAATGTATATCCGAGCATAAGGGAGTGACCATCTCACTTGGCTTGCAGTGATGAGAGTGTTTTAAGGATAAACATCATCCTTGGGCATGAGACTCCTAGGAGGACTCTGCTAAAGAGAGTAGAGTCCTACTAGGATTGTACAAACCATCTCACTTGGTTGGTAGTGAGTAGGGTGTTATCAGTGCGTTTCCTAGGAAGACTCTTATAAAGAGAGTTAGTCCTACTAGGATTGTGCCAGGTGGAACCTATAAAAGCTCATGACAGGACCTATGTACAGGTATTACAATTTTTATTCTCAAATACACAGAGTTTTTGTGTCTATTGTCTATTTTGCTGACTTAGGCATCGAAGGTATTTCTGGCACACACCCGCCAGCTAGCTCACGCTTGTGTTTTCAGATAGTAAAGCGACGACGTTTGGAGGAGTGCAAACTTGATCAACGGGATTATACGAGGAGATTATTTCGTGCTCGTAGAATTGGCGTCGTCGGTGGAAAAAATCAAAGAACAAACCTTTTGATTGAGTTTTTCTTCAACTAATTTCAATGGCGCACAACGAAGATTTGCCTCAATCTGTTATCGATGGGCAAACTCCAGAAGGGGACATGAGGCGCGAGGATTTGCCTTTTGTCCCATCCATGGCAAACTTGAACCCTTAGCGACGGTACCCACGGAGGGGCGCACGAGAGAAACAGGACTTAAGTCCTCGTCGCTCTCACAGCCTAGATGGACAAAGACGGAGGATGGATCCTCAGGTTCTGGAGGATTACGTGAAAGAGCAAGACGAGTTGATAAAAAGAATGGCGGCCAACATGGAGACGATGAAGCACCAGATGAAAGGCAAAGACGTGGCAGGAGAAGAGATCCGTGAAGGAAAAATGCGTTCTCGCCATTCAAGAGAGCGCGATAGGTGAGTCACACCATCGCAATTCGAAAGCAGAAGCCTCAGAATAGGCGACACTCAATCAAGAACTTCCAGGGCTCGTTACTCTAGGTCTGAGCAAACGAGGACTGAAAATTCTTACACGAAGGGAAGCAGTTATCGACCCTCACATACTCACCAAACCACCTCTCGGCACACCGAGCTACCCAAATCGGTGGATCTGCGAACAGTTTTGGAAGAAAAGACACGTAGGAGGAAAGATGCCCAGGCCCATGACCCTCAAAGGATCTCGGCTCTACAACGGATGGCACCTAGAACGCATGGGAGCGTCGAGGTTAGAAAGTCAAGACCTCATCTTGCCTATGAACCAGCCGACAAGGCATTGGCAAGGTTGCAAAGCTTACCGTTCGTTCCGGCAATAGAGAACGCCCACTACCCTTGGGCTTTAACCAGCCTAAGTTCACTACTTATGAGGGGAAGTCAAACCCCTACATGTACTTGAGCCACTTTTGCCAGGTTATGGCCGTATATCGGCAAAACGAGGCCTTAATGTGTATCTTGTTTCCGTC